ACTGAGAGAGAGAGAGAAACAGAGAGACAGAGAGAGAGAGACAGAGAGGCACAGAGAGAGAGACAGAGAGAGAGAGAGAGAGAAGCAGAGACAGAGAGAGAGAGAGAAACAGAGAGAGAGAGAGAGAGAGAGAGAGAGAGAGAGAGAGAGAGAGAGAGAGAGTATTGCCGCAATGCCCTGTAAGTTTTTCGTCCACACAAGTCTTTTCATGACGTTCTTATCATGCTTTTTTTTCTCCAAAAAAAGTGGAAATTCTTGCAATAAAGAAATACATTTGTCGAACTTTTGTCAGCTTTCAGAAAGGCATCATTTGACATCTATTCTATCCGGTCACAATGACAAAACTGTTGAACAAATACGTACATGATCCTAAAGGGCGTTTGAAAAGTGCATATTACACTAAAGATCTTTTTTTAAATTCCAATTTTTTCTCAAAATCTGCTTTTTGACAGATGCGACCTCCTTGGTGCAAGGATTTTTCTAAAACTATAGAAGCTAGAAGCTGCAAATTTGGCACACAATTGTTTTAAGATCTATTCTGATGATCTAGGAGAGGAAATTGGGAAATATTGGTAACTTGTGGAAATGTTTAAATTCTTCGTAACATATACCCCAACATCGTCAACCCTCGGGAGTCCATTGACTTTGTGCTCACGTTTTTGTTATTTTTAAAGATAGGTCAAAATCCTTATAAATTCTTAGTCCATATAGGTTTGCACATGTGTGCCAAATTTCAGGCTGTTGTCTCAATATTTTCTATTCAATTCATCTGCACTAAGAAACAGGTTTGAAAATCCTTAATGGCCGCCACAGAGACCCATTTTTTCTGAAAAAATCAACAAATTCACCTTTACTACATCCTTTTTTACCTAGATCTATTAACGTCTTTCCCAATTACATGAAAGTGAATAAAAGTCTTTTTTTTAAGAATTTTTTTTTTTCTGGGAGTGTACGTCTCCCCTTAAACTGTCTTTCCCAATAACACAAGGCTCGAACTCCCGAACAACTAGGCCACCGACGCCACCCTTTAACCTCTCCACCGCTGTACAAAACGTTATCAAAATAAAGTAATTGTTGTGATGGTTGAGGACAGGGACAGGGAAAGAAGGGAGCGGAGGATACAGTGTTCCTTTTGTTTGCACTCTCGGTTTTAAAAGGATAGACGTCTATCCAGGGGCGGTTTGTTAACTGGGCAAGACCGGCAGTGCCGGTCAGATTTTTGTCAACTGAACTGTTGATCAGAGGTATATTGCTGATGACAATTTTCATTCAGTTTTAAGTAAAT